AACACTTTGGTCTGGTGTCCACTCAGACATATGAGTTCATTAACGACGCTAAACAGCCAAATCAAAGTGATCTCTTTACTGACTCGATGCAGGTTCAACGTGTATAATCTTTTGACGAGGTCTGACAAAATAAAAAAAAATCAAGCAACAGATGTGTCTTGCAAAAGTAACTCAAGTCAACGTGGTAATCCCCAATTTATGTGTGTTAATCGTAATAAAATGAAGAGATCAGTTCAAACCGAGTTCTACTTCCTCTATATGTGCAACTACAAAACAACACGACTCAAACAGCAGAACCTGACTTGATGCAGCTCAACCTTTACATCAGTTTAAGGACTGTTTTAATTAGTTATGTAGAAAACAACCACTGCTTCACTGCATTTAGCTACACTGCTATTTTGCACTCTTGTATTTATATTTTATACTTACATTTTTTAACTTTTGCACACTCCTGTGTAGGAGTTTTACATCGAATGTGCCTATTTTGTATTGTATAGATGTTCCTTCTTTTATATTGACTGATGCAACAATTCAAACATCCCCACGGAGAGGGTAAAAAACATATTCCTATTCTATGACATCAGTAACATATCATCATATCTCATGACTAATCTCACCTTAAACGCAGCTCTTAGCTTCAGTGAATGTTTCGTATATTAATTTCAACACAGCCATTCGTCAGCTGTGACTCATATTCCAGTAAGGGTGAAAATATTGTCTGAAAATGAGATTTCTGGACACGAAAACGGAACAAACAGGAGAATTTCTTTGTCTTGAGTTTTGTTTTGCAGCTGTGAACACAACAGGAGGCACGTCCTGTGGGATCTAAAGACGTTTCTCGCGTTTTAGGAGCTTCGATAACCAAAAGTGACAACTGACTGTCACAGGAGCGTCAAGCTGACCGGGTAATTGAAGGAATGCCTTACAAACACGCTGACGTGCTAAAAGACGCACGCTCTTCTGTCTGAGGAAGGTCTTCCATGCAGTCAGCAGGGCTGAGACGTCCAAGAATAGATAAAAGAAAGGACGCACACGGGGCATTCTGGGAACACACACACAGACAAAGTGTGACAAATTTCTGGCAGGTACGTTCCACATGCCTCATGCTGCCATAAGCGCACAATAACACAACCTCACGCACACGCACAGCCTTTGATGCTCCAGCACCGTCCTTTTTTTTTTTTTGAGCTCTTTCGTATGGCCACATATGGTAATTCACTTCAAAGCACCTCCTCGCAAACCGTTTCTCCTGAACAGTTTCCTCCACACGGCTGATCCTCCAAAGAGGGAACGTTAACAGATTCAAAATGAAAATGAAAAAAAAAAAAACAAGAAAGAAACACGATCAAACGTCAAAACATCTCAACTTATAGCATCTTACAGCGGCAACAAGACGAAGATTTGTGTTCTAATGAATTTAAAACATTAAAGCACGGTAAAGGATTGGTATATTGAATATCCGTTAACGGGAAAAACTTTCTAACCATCTGACTTGTTATTTTCACGTCCTTCTTTCGGTGAAATACCACTGTGGTGGAAGTAACAAACTGTCTCTGCTGTGACACGAGCCAAACGTTCTGTCCAAATGCAATTAATCCGACAGGGGATCCACTGAAGCACTGACCGAACACTGAGTGAAATGACTGGAAGTAGAGCGCAGGACAAAAAATAAATAAAAAAATCACATCATACATAAAAAAACTCTTTTTCCACCAATTTCCTTTCACATTACCTTAAATGTCATATGAAATTAAACATATATATTGATTGTTATAAATTTAAACTTACAAGAATACAAGCATAACTAAATAATATCACTTAAAAATCTTTTTTACCTGTTCTAAAGTGAGTTTCTTGCGGTTTTAAGTGTAAAGGAGCCTTGTTAACAACTATGATCAAATACGTTCATTAGTGCAGTGGTTCTCAAACTGGGGTCCCCGGACCCCCGGGGGTCCGTGAGCCGGTGCTTGGGGATCCGCAAAAAAAAAAAAATAATTTACAAGCACGTGGATGTTTAACAGCCAGTTAAAATACACCAAAATGCAGGGAATCACATCTACTTTATTCAAAATTTTCTGGGGGAGGACCCCCAGACCAACCCCCCACCCCCACCCACCCACCCTGCTGACCTGCCCACCATTTGCATTCTGGCATCAATCAGTTTACAAGTTAAGCACTTGGTATGACTACAGCTATGATTCGGTTCAGTTTTATGTAAAGACAACGAAGTTCATGCTCAATCATCCAGGTACCAAATCCAATAATTCTCAGTCAGGTCATCTGGACAGTTTCTTTTTTATAGAGATGTTTCGCCCTCTATCCGGAGGGCTTCTCTATAAAAAAAAGAAACTATCCAGATGACCAAGAATTATTGGATTTGGTACCTGGATGATTGAGCATGAACTTTGCTGCCTTGAACCACTGTGGCTGTGGCTGCCTGCCTGGGAGGAGTCGACGGGGGACAGGACGACCCCCAGAAACCATCCTAGCGCCAGCAAACTGGCTGGTCCACTTACTGCTTGGTGGGGAAACAGTTTACTGGAACTCCTCAGGCTGATGAAGCCCTCCGGATAGAAGGCGAAACATCTCTATAAAAAAAGAAACTGTCCAGATGACCAGAATGAGAATTATTGGATTTTATGTAAAGAGTTTTCTGTAATAATTTGGAGAAGTGGCAACACATTTATTATGTTCATTACATGAATAGGTAAAGTTTTAAAGTGGTTTTTGATGCTGTTAGTTTTCTCAAAACTGTCATTTTTGGAAGTTGAAATTAAAAATGTTGTTAATGAAGTGTGTCTTGTATGAAAAATACCCCATGTTTCAAAGTATACAAATTGGTATTAACACTATTACAGAACAGATCTTAAATATTAAATATTTCCATTGCATTAAAGAGACACATGCTGGATGGGCGGGCCGGGTCAGTGTTGGGCATTTGATTACATCAGCGGGTGCGCGCGGCTGACGATCCAATTATAGGGCAACATGGCTTGCCATACAACCACCAGCCACATGCAGCCATTTCACCGCAAGCTGACCGGCCTTGAAAGAGGTAAAATAGTTTAATTAAGCTTCACATGGGACTACCGGTACTGCCAGGAAGCGATCCATCGCCCAAATGGACTTTCAGCTGCTGCACTCAGCGGACGCGCACGGCCGACGACCCAAACAGGTGAGATCCTAAAGCAGACATGTCAGAGCAGGGTCCATGTCCGAATAATGCAGAATGCAGGCAGAAGCAGGGATTTAATGTGCTTTGACAGCCATGAAAAGACAAACACCCCCCTCAGCTCCGATCTTCTGACCCTTTTTTATTCAGCCACGCACATCCGCCGACCATTAATAAGCAGTCAAAGTTTAATTAAAAATGTTGGGGGGGGGGGGGGGGTTTCGGACCTGTAATTACGATTAATTTGTCAGGTCGGGTGGGGTTCGGAAATGATGGCTACAGTCTGGGGCCGGGTCAGATTTTTTTGGGCCCAAATGCAACTCTACCCTGAACCCAAAAAGTTTGAGGACCCCTTCATTAGTGGACCCAAGAGGTGCCAACATGAATTTGATTATCAGAGCAAAACAAAGTGTTTTTAAACCCCGTCTTCAGTCTGAGATAAGTTAATACGGAGAAGACGGGACACAGCATCCATCGGTTACTTCTCAGAACATGTGGGAGGAAGTAAAAACAGCTAATTATTATTTTTAGAGAAGTGGTTCCACTGAGCATAAAACAGATCAAACAAATGAAGTGGCAACTGTGACAACAATGAATGCACACGTTTTTGACAAAAAAAGACAATTATTTTCCACGAACTGAATAGAAACTTCCTGATAAACTACTAGCTACTACCATCTGTATTAGTTGATATTTATTAATAATAATAAGTATTTTATAGTTCAGAACTGCTCTAAGCATGCAAAATGTTGCATCTACGTACATCAGAGATCGGAAAACTTCCAGTTTTTTTTTTTTTTTTTTTGCTAACGCAACAGTTCCTCCAGTAAACAACACCTAACATTATAAAACCACTTTGTTCCTTTTTTTTTTAAAAAACAAATCGAGGATTCCTCCAGGGGACAGAAAAAAGCGACTCTTAATGACAAAAATAAAAGTGAAAGAGCCGTGCACCTCTGCTGGGTATAAAAAGCCTTCGTCTCACAGTAAATCAAGCTCAAGTGGCGCTTTAAAAACACCCTGGATGCTCCTGGAGAAATGGGAAAACACTCAAGAGAACAATTCATCATCTGTCAAAAGAATTACAGTGGGATTGCGGTGCATCATCACTTTAAATATGATTTGCTCCTCAAATGGGCCCAATTTATTCAGCAGGAATAATAATGATGAAGCACATGTCATGTTTGTGGATGGATGGATGGATGGATGGATGGATGGATGGATGGATGGATGGATGGATGGATGGATGGATGGATGGATGGATGGATGGATGGATGGAAGGATGGATGGATGGATGGATG